ATCAGGGCTAAGTGAATATAATATTCAGTGAAATTTGTCATTTTCTTTCACTGTCAACCTTCTATTTTCGTGAAGTTCACAATTTCTTTGATAAAGACTGAGGAAAAAAAAAAAATTCTTTTCCATCTCTTCCCCAACTACAGTTGGTAAATTAAAGTTTATTAAACATGAATGCTAAAAATTAAACAGTAGTCATACTTCTAAATAACACACTTAATTTAGGTCAATAAATTTAAACCCATTAACTGAATATTTACAATGCATGGCTAAGAAGAGATTCTGTTTTAAACTGTGATTGTAATGGATGTTAATATTTTAAAAATATTGTTGATAACAATGAGGTGACAATGAAATTGTTGCACTGGAAATAGTTAAGACAGTCTAAAATATCTTCTAAATAGCTTAAGCATTCAGTGGAATTCTTAGACATCTATGAGCTTAAGTGTAACTGCTTTTTTTTTTAAGGAAATAACCATGAAATGATCACCGCAATCTTGCTCATATGAATTATCTTAAAAATATCTTGATTAGAACCATTTAATTCTTATCCTTGTGCTCAAACCTTTTCAAATTCTCATCTGTCTTTTTCCCTGTAATCTCCAGATGTGTAATATCAGCACAAGCACCCAGATTCACTTTTCCTCAGACTGAGATCAGCCCCTTTTCCATATCATTGGTGTTCTTGGCTTCAGTCACCTAGGCCTCATATCCCATTTCCCATTCTAAGACCCTCCATCTCTCTTATATTCTTTTCTTCATTCGTAGCAATATTCAAAACCTACCTCTTCCATGAAGCTTTCATTCACCATCCTAATATCTCTTTTGCTTTCTGTTTATTTTGATTATGTTGTTAATAATTGCTTTAGGATATGGATCCTTTAACATAGAAGAATATGTACTTAAGAAAGACTGTTGAACTTTTACCTTTATTCCTTTATTTTTCCACTTAATACTAGGAAGGACTGTAATGTTGACTTTTAACTTTATTTCTTTATTTTTCTACTTATACTAAGAACAAAGGTAATGCTTTACTTTTAACTTTGTTTCTCTATGTGACTATATGTACCTAAGTTTTGTACCAAGGTACCTTTGTACCTAAGATGGTACTTTGTGTGGCAACATTATACACTTTTTACCGTGCTCTTGTATTTCTGTACTTGAGTACACGTGACAGTAAATCAAGTGCAAGATGTGTTGAGTGTTACAGGAGTGGAAGTACAAAAAGAAATCAGTGGGCATCTAGGGTACATGATAGTCTGGAAAGCTTTCAGTATTGTTCTGCATGAAAGACTTATGCAAAACTCAGGTGATTTCTTCGGCAAAATGTGTCAGCAATAACGAAGAAAAAAGTAGCAAATGCTGATTAGGAACGAAATGTTAGGCCAGGGTGAAATGTTAACTGGAACTTCTCAAGACTCGGGACTGGAGCTTCACCTGTTTCAAACCTACACAAACAATTGGAATTCTGCATGAACAATGCACATTTATATATACTTATTAAAAAAAAAACTCAAAATGTTCATAGAGTCTTACCCAGACAGAAATGGATGCTGCTGAAGACTGATCAACACATTGATTAAAGAGACTGATTTCAAATAGAACTTGAAAGCAAGGGAGGGATTTTGAGTTGGTATTCATGTAATGGACCTAATGGCTTAAAGCGTGATTACCAATGGTGGGTTGAGACGATATGGAAAGCAGAGTTTTGTTATGTAGAAAATGGGAGGTCAGTAAACAGTACATTGTATAGTTACTTCTGAAGTTTTCAGTAATACAGGCAAAGACATTAAAGAGATAGAAATAGGCAGTCTTTGGAAAATGGAATAGTCAAATAGGGCAGTTTGAGAACAATCTGAGAAAATAACTGTGGAGTTGTGTGGAACTTGTGGCAATACTGGTAGATAAATTATTTAAGATGGTCTCAAATATACTTTCCTATAAAACATGAGATTGGTGTGGTTTTGCTAAAAACTATACAAAACACTGGTTAGACAGTGTTCTGTGTACAGTTCAGGTCATTATATTACAGGAATAGTATTATTTGAATAATTTGATTGGGAAGGCTGGGGTTGGTTCCTCTGGAATTGAGGAACTGAGGGGAGATTTAATTGAAGCGTATAAATGTATTTAGAATGGATAACAAGGATCTATTTCCCTTCATCGTTAACTGAGCAGCATAAATTGGAAGTAAACAACTTGAGAGATGTTGAAGAGAATTTTTTTCATCAAAAACATTGTGGAGCTGAAATGGAGCAGGAGGCAGATACCCTCATCACATATAAAAAGTGATTCAAATGCATAATTTACAAAGCTAGGGACAAATACCATAACCTACAGGGCTAGGGACGTACTGCCAGAAAGAGGAACCAGCTTCAATAGTTCTTTTTTGTCTGACACAAACTCAATTTGCTAAATGGCCTTCTTAGATTTCTATGATTTATTTTGTGTGTATTTGCCCTCAACAGGACATTTCCCAATGAAGCAATGTTTATGTTGTCTCTCATAATATAAGAAATTAGGCATGGATATTGTGCTATTGAAGAATCCAACAAACATATTTCACAGACAACAAGGTGCAGGGCTGGATGAACACAGCAGGCCAAGCAGCATCATAGGAGCAGAGAGGCTGACGTTTCGGGCCTAGACCCTTCATCAGAAAAGGGGGAGGGGAAGGGGGTTTTGAAATAAATAGGGAGAGAGTGGGAGGCGGATAGAAGAGGGATAGAGGAGAGGATAGGTGGAGAGGAAACAAACAGGTCGAAGAGGCGGGGATGGGGCCAGGAAAGGTGAGTGTAGGTAGGGAGTTAGGAAGGGGATAGGTCAGTCCAGGGAGGACGGACAGGTCAAGGGGGCGGGATGAGGTTGGTCGGTAGGAGATGGAGGTGCGGCTTGAGGTGGGAGGAGGGGATAGGTGGGAGGAAGAACAGGTTAGGGAGGCAGGGACGAGCTGGACTGGTTTTGGGATGCGGTAGGGGAAGGGGGTTTTGAAATAAATAGGGAGAGAGTGGGAGGCGGATAGAAGAGGGATAGAGGAGAGGATAGGTGGAGAGGAAACAAACAGGTCGAAGAGGCGGGGATGGAGCCAGGAAAGGTGAGTGTAGGTAGGGAGTTAGGAAGGGGATAGGTCAGTCCAGGGAGGACGGACAGGTCAAGGGGGCGGGATGAGGTTGGTCGGTAGGAGATGGAGGTGCGGCTTGAGGTGGGAGGAGGGGATAGGTGGGAGGAAGAACAGGTTAGGGAGGCAGGGACGAGCTGGACTGGTTTTGGGATGCGGTGGGGGGAGGGGAGATTTTGAAACTTGTGAAATCCACATTGATACCATTGGGCTGCAGGGTTCCCAAGCGGAATATGAGTTGCTGTTCCTGCAACCTTCGGGTGGCATCGTTGTGGCACTGCAGGAGGCCCAGGATGGACATGTCGTCTGAGGAATGGGAGGGGGAGTTGAAATGGTTCGCGACTGGGAGGTGCAAAACTTTTCCTTCTTTTAAGGGAAGTTATCAAACACAGGTATTCCAAAGTTTGTCATCGACTATTCCACTATGGTGGAATTAAAATTTAATTAATTGAAAGTTAGACTCAGTAAGGATGATCATGAGTGTTATCAACTGTCATAAATACCCATCTGATTCTTTAAGATTCTTAATGGAATAAAATCTATCATCCTTATCGGATCTCCCCTACATGTAACTCCAAACCACAGCAATGCAGTTAAGTCTTAAATTCCCTCTGGAATATCCTGTCAAGCAACTTGATTCAAGATCAATTTGGGATGGTCAAAAAGTGATTGCCTTGGCAATATCTCTTGTTACGTTTTCTCTTGACACAGGGTTAAATGTAATTTTAAGACACTCCACTGAAACACTCTGGGTTATTTCACTGTTAATTTTACTGTTTATTAGTAACTAATAAAGGCAAGTTTAGAAAAGCATCCTAGGTCCATTTTAAGCTATTCATGGAGCAGCTTAGGATTTGTCCAGTTTTTGAGAACTCAAATTGTATTAATTATAATTGTATGTTTCTTTACCTGTTCTATTTTTGTTAAAGATTATTGTTATCTACAAGTACGGTATTGTAGTGTCATTACAACAATTTGAGTTTAATGATTAAAAGCAATGAACAGTATCAGTAATATGCAAATGAATATGAAGAACTGCTTAGTTTTCATTATGCCTTTATAAACACTTGATCTTGACATAAAATTTATCACTTTACATCTACATTCCCATATCTCAGAGTTAGCAATACTCTGCCAGTGAGGGTTCTCATTATTATAAATGTTTCTCAATTTTCTTTCCTTTATTCTTTCATGGGATGTCGGTGCCTCTGGCATGGCCAGCAATTACTGCTCACCCCTAATTGCCCTCAAACCATCTGGTTTGCAAAGCCATTTCAGACGGCATTTGAGAACAACCACCTGGAGCCACATGCAGGCCAGACTCAGTAAAAGTGATAGCTTTTCTTCCCTAAAAGGACATTAGTGAACGAGATAATTTCATAATAAAAATATTGTTAAATCTATCATTAAAGTACTGCAGATGCTGAAAATCTGCAAATAGAGAATGCTGGGGAAATTCCACAGGTCTGGCAGCAGAGTTAACCTTTTGAGTTCATTATGACTTAAGAATTGAAAAGGAGTTGGAAATTTTATTTGTAAAACTAGCTGAAATCCCAGAGGAAACAGCACAACTTCTTCAAAGTAAGCATACTTGGAAGAGAAGCAGCAGTGAATTGAAAACTGAAAAAAGGGTAAAATACGGTAGATGATGGAATTCTGAAAAAAAAATGCTGGAAAAATTCAGCTCTGGCAGCATCTGTGGAGTGAGATGATAGTTGCATGGTCATCACAGAGACTAGCTTTACACCAGAGTAACAAAGTGCGGAGCTGGAGGAACACAGCAGGCCAGGCAGCAGAGGAACAGGAAAGCTGACGTTTTGGGTCAGGACCCTTCTTTTTCTGAAGAAACATCAGCTTACCTGTTCCTCTGATGCTGCCTGGCCTGCTATGCAGCATCTGCAGTTCTTGCTATCCTAGTTTTACGCCAGATTTATTAGTTGAATTTAAATTCCACCAACTGCCATGGTGGGATTTGAACCTATGTCATCAGAATATTAACTTGAATCTCTGCATTACTAGTAAAACAGGTATTACCACTATGCCATTATTGCTCAATTGTGTTTTACCATGTCTGTTAGATTTTTTTTAAAAAACTGTTTCAATAGCACTGGCTGTGAACATAATGTGGAGGGCTCTGAAGTACTTCTCTGCATGTTTTTTGTCACAGAGGTTTGGCTTGTCAGACTTTTACCAACTGACAACTGAAAAGGACCAAGTAACTCAGCATTTCAGAAATATATTTGCACTGTAAAGTTTTCAGTAAAGAGGACAGAAATTAGCATTGTTCACGAGGGATGCATCCTACAACATATCATACCGCAAATTTACTACTTTTTCTTTTGCTTAGGATGGCAATGGATACATAGATGAAAATGAATTAGACGCACTACTAAGGGATCTCTGTGAAAAGAACAAAAAGGTAGCAAAATCATACTGCTAAGCCATTAACGTTAAATGAAATACAGAAAATGAAGGCATATTTGAAAGATTCTGCATGGAATTTAACTGATTTTTTTTTCAAACTCAGGATCTAGACATTCAAAATCTTACAACATACAAGAAAAGCATCATGGCTTTGTCTGATGGAGGAAAACTGTTTCGTAAAGATTTGGCATTAATCCTGTGTGCTGAAGAATTTTAAATATCTTGCATTCTTGTGTGCTTGTGATATGTGTGACGATAGCTGTGTGCTAAAGGGTGTAGGATATGCCTGTAAAGTTCACTGACTGCATATAGATTAATCAGTAGAATGTGCAACACATTCTTTCTGATCTGTTGTATCTATACTCTTTGTAATTTACTGCTTTTGTATCTACAAAATTCATACAAATATATACTGAAACTGATAATAGAATATGTGGCATAAACAACTGTTTTTGTCCAGCAGTGAAAGAAAGGTTTATATTAAATGTTCACAAAACTGGTCAAGATTGTTTCATAAATGCATTGAAGGTATAAAGGTACATTGTGTAATTTCCATAATTTACAATTAAAGATGTTAAAAATCAATCCCATACAAAAGGTTTTCATTTATCATCATTTCTGCTTCTTTTGTAAAAGGTGTCTTTTTTCAAAAAAGGTGTAATGCTTTCAATTAGAGGGATAACAAAATGCAAGTTGAGTGAAAACAAACTGAAGCTGGAAATTTCTAGTACTATGCAATTTATCAATGAGTGAGTTAAAACCCATTTAGTTTCTTTCCTCATTTATTTTGCCTGCTTATTTATACTTGGATTTTTGTTCTCTTCATCCTTTGCATGTCTGGGATATACAACAGACATAGGAAACATGATTGATATACAGAGAATTCAGAGACTGAGCAAACAGAGAATGAATAAGGTATAGGATAACTAAACAGCTAAGAAAGCTGAAACAACATATAACAATTAGACATAAAAACATGTGCGATAAAATTGTTCTGTATATTTAACACTGATTGCAGACGTAAGGTTTTTGCTTACAATGTGGTCACTGGAGCAGTGTGCAGGACAGTGGCTTTAAACTTGCCTGTAATTTTATATTTCAAAAGGAAAATAAGTAATTAGAAGTTTTAATTATACTAAACCTAATATCAAGATCTTATAAACCTATCATTTAAAAAATTATTTTTCAAGCTAATATCATATGATACATTTCAAAGGACTGTTACACTTATGTATCACTTCCTTTTCAAAAATAATTACAAGTTAATTTACAAGTTCAAGGATTCATCCTCAATTTCTATCCCTGGACCTCACACAAGTGTTTTATTGGAAGTTACCTGGGAAATATTTTCAGAGTAACTCAGTTCGACTCTGCCTTGTGGTTGGACTGACTAGAGTAGCAGAACTGCAATATTGCAATTGTCAAACTATGATTCTACAAGCATTGATAACTTTTTACTGTTATGAACTTTATCTTGTGTACACATATCAAATTACTTAGCATAAAAATTGTTGCTATAAAAGATGTTTCAAAGGTTTAAAAATTAATTTAAGAAACTGATTAAAATAAATCAAAATAAATCCACTTATTTACTCTAACAAAGTTATCAAGATGCCTGGTGTAAGACACCTGACATACATTTGTTTAAACTCTGTTTAGCTGTTCACAAGATTTATGCCATACTTAGGAACCTTTGGTCTTCCTGATCAGTGACTCTAGCATATCCCATTGTTCACTTGTTACCTAAAATTTAAAAATAAAGATGTTATTGTTATTTGGCAAATCAAGATCATGAAAGAATTCAAATAGAGCTAAATGATGTCATCTTTCTGAAAAATGTAATCCAAATCTAAACATGTTTTACTAGAAAGTAATAGCATGCATCCCCTCCTTCTAGAGTACCAACATGTAATAAAATTTGATTTTCGTGATGATGCACCACTACCATGGTTAGCAAAATGTAGTTTGCTGGAAACCACACATTTTGGGTTGATAAAAAGCTGCTGATAGCCCGGATGTCCGTGGATATTTTGCTGTGTCTCCTCTATGTGTTGGATTTCTGAAGTTAAGACTAAGGGAAAGGAGTGATAAAAAGAATGGGAAAATAGCTGAAGGTGACATTACCTTCTGTAGACTGTTAAATTCACCAGCTATGTAAACATATTCACCACCGTCGAATCTTATGACCTATAAAACAATATAATTACAAGTTTAATATTCAGTTACATTTAACAAAATATACTTTATATTGCATAATACAAACAAAATTCACCAGTTACATTTTAGTCTAGTGTAATGCAGAACACCAGACAGATCAAGTTAATAATGACACCATAGAACATTGCTTTTACCCAGGAGCTTGAAATGCCGGAGTTAGTTCGACTCTTTTCGCTGCAGCAATACCTCAGTCTGTCAGTCAATTTGTCAACCAATTCATGTCATTTTCTCTGATATTATATTTATAGTATAAATTGTTGCAATCATTTGAAATTTGGCAATCTTGCATTTATCCTGACTTTAAACTTGCCATTAATTTGATATTTCAAAATGAAAATAAATAATTAGAAGTTTAAATGACGAGAACAAGATGAAAAAATTTTGCAACTTATTTCTCTCTTCTCAACAGTGCTTTTGTGAAAACCATTTTCCCAGATCACTCAAGAGCCTGGAACTTTGTGCAGGAAACCAAACTCATGAAAACATAATAATGAACAACAACCAATGAATCAGATCAAGTTCTGCAGTACTGCCACAGCCAACCATGAGTGGTAGTGAACAATTAAATAATGCATTGGAGGGGACTTCACAAATTGGACAGGTTAAAGTCTGGTCAATGGTAACCACCAGGAAATCAGTTAATGGGGGGAATTCATGATGGCAATACCACTACATATTAATGATGGGGGTAACCCAATGCATCAGTGCAAAAGAGAAGACTTAGGGACTTACAGAAATCTTTGGCAAAAGTGGCGACTGGATGAACGATCGGAGTCTGTCAGCTTTTAAGTCCAGCATCACAGGTGCAAGTCTTAAGCTAATACTACTCAGGATATCTAGAAACAACTGAAAGAAGTGTCCTGCTTTGGCCCTGACAGCATTCTGTAATTCTACTGAAAACTTATGCTCCAGAAACTCCTGTGTGCCCCTACCCAAGATGTTCCAGCACAACCTCAACACAGGCATCATCCTGACAATGTGCAAAATTGCCCAGGTATGCCGTGTACATAAAAAGCAGAACAAATCCAACCTAGCTAATTACTGCCTCATCAGTAGAGTGATGAAAGGGATATTAACAATGCTATTACCAACACTGTTATCAATACACTGGTCACTGATGCCAGGTTTGGATTCTGCCAGGGCCACTCAGGCCCTGACTTTATGCCAGATTTGATTCAAACATGGACAAAAGAGTTGAATTCCAAAAGGTGAGGGGACAGTGACTGTCCTTGACGTCAAAGCTGCATTTGACCAACTGCAGCATCAAGAGGATCCTAGAAATACTGGAGTCAATGGGGATCATGAGAAATCTCTATTGGTTGAGGAGTCATACCTAAAACAAAGGAAGATGGACATGGTTGTTATAAGTCAGTCACGTCAGCTCCAGGATATCTCTGCAGGACTTCCTCGGACCTCAGATTAGCATCTCTTGCCCAAACATTTTAAGCTGTTTCATTAATAGCCTTTGCTCTACCATAAAGTTCAGAAGTGAGGTAAGATCACCAATGACTGCACAACTTTCAGCACCATTCAGAACTCCTCAGATACAAGTTTACACTAATTCACCATCATTGTCATTTAAAAAGGAATTAATCATCCCTCAACTCAAAGAACTAAAAGATTTTGTCATTTAAATTTTATACTTTAACAAATGAAAGGTCATCTAGACGACACAATTAACAAGTCAAATAAAAAAATAATGATTCTACATTAACTAAGATAATTGAGACATCTTCCAGGCCCTTTTTTGCTGCACACTGCATTTCTGGCAGATATGTAGCATACGAACAGTTCCAAAATGACCCTTGACGCTGCAGTGGGCTTCTTTCCTCCCAGAGTCACACTATTGAAGCTTCCAGTAGCCTTTGAAAGTCGCTCCATTCAGCCTGAATTTTATGGAACTGATTTTTGCCAGTAAGGCTCATCTCAGTACTTCCATGACAAGACCCTGTCTGTTCTGTTCTCTTCATTTTGAAGCGGAGAAAGAATAAACCTTTTCAACCATCCTGCTTGGTTCTTAAAATAACTAGCCCTTCACATCTTCCCTAAGATAGTGGTCCATTTTCAATGAGATACCATGCAGTAACGCAATGAATTGCCCCATGAATGGCAGGATCCTGGAAAGTATTGAAAATCAGAGGGACCATGATGTGCATATTCACAGGTTGCTGAAAGTAGCAGGGCGGGTCAATAAGTTGGTTAAGAATGCATATAGATACTTGCCATTATCAGCCGAGCCGTAGGATACAAGAGCAAGGAGATTATGCTGGGACCAAATAAAACTGTGGTTAGGTCACAACTGGAGTACTGCAGTTTGGGTCACCACATTATATAAAAGAGGTGAATGCACTGGGGGAGTGCAGAGGAGATTTGTCAGGATGCTGCCTGGGCTGGAGGACCTGAACTGTGAAGAAAGATTGGATAGGTTGAAGGATCAGTAGGAACTGCCGATAGATTGCAGGAACAGCACCTCATATTTCGCTTGGGAACCCTGCAGCCCAATGGCATCAATGTGGACTTCACAAGCTTCAAAATCTCCTCTTCCCCCGACCTCATCCCAAAACCAGCCCAGCTCATACTCACCACCCTAACTTGTTCTTCCTCCCACCTATCCCCTCCTCCCACCTCAAGCCCCACCCCCATCTACCTACCAGCCTCATCCCACCTCCTTGACCTGTCCGTCCTCCCTGGACTGACCTATTCCCTCCCTAACTCCCCACCTACACTCACCTTTACTGGCTCCACCCCCGCCTCTTTGACCTGTCTGTCTCCTCTCCACCTATCTTCTCCTTTACCCATCTTCTATCCGGCTCCCGTACTCTCCCTATTTATTTCAGAATTCCCTTCCCCTCCCCCATTTCTGAAGAAGGGTCAAGGCCCGAAACGTCAGCTCTCCTGCTCCTGTGATGCTGCTTGGCCTGCTGTGTTCATCCAGCTCTACACCTTGTTATCTTGGATAGGTTGAAGTTGTTTTCCTTGAAGCAGTGAAAGTTGAAATGGAACATGAAAGAGGTACATTAGATTATAAGCGATACAAACAGGATGGATAGGAAGGCACACTTTCTACTCGTAGAGGGGTGAATAACCAGGGAGCAGACATTTAAGGTAACAGGTAGAAGGCTAAGAGCAGAGTTGAGGAGAATCTTTTTCATTCAGAGGATAGTCAGAGTTCAGAACTCAGTGCTGAGTTGCAACAGAAACTGGTATAATTTAGATATTTACTTGCATTGCCATAGCTTAGAGGGCTATGGGTCAAAAGTTGGAAAATTAGATTAATGTAGTCAAGATTTTTGTTGACCAGCAGCATGAACATGATGAGCTGAATTGCCTCCTCCTGTGCTGCAAGTGTCTATGAGATAGTTTAAAACACAAGCATTTTGTAAAATGTCCATAACAGTTCAATAACTCCAAGTCAGGTTGGTGTGAGAAATAAAGAAATGTAGGGGATGTTGCGCTCACGTATGTTGGATGGCTTTGAACGTCTGGGTGGTGGAGGTCACAGATTTAGAAGCACTGTCAAAAATAAGCACAGGTGCCCAGGCATCTTGTTGCATTAAATTCTTTAGATTATACAAAATTGCAGCCATGGTATCCAGAAGATAGATTGTGGATGTTGAAGCTTGTGATGGTATACCAACGTAATGATTGTTTCATTTTGGAAGATTGAGCTTTTTCAGTATTGTTGCAACTGGACACATAGCGGATACACTATCAAATTTCTGACTTGTGTCTTGTAAGAGATGGAAATCAAGTGAGGAATCAGGAGGGAATTCAACCATTCAGTGTCTGACCAGTTCTAGGAGATAGTGCCTTCACACAGCTCATCTACTTGAGTTCCTACTGAATGGTTCCTTCACTGATTGTCTTGGGGTCAGATCTGTCTTGTTGGAACTTATCACTGCCTGTCTATGGGTTTATAATCAAAAAAATGTGTTTTAAATAAATATGAAGCATAGTCCATGTATTAAAGACAAATACTGTGGATGTTTGAAATACACAATAAATGCTGGAAGTGCTCAGCAGGTCTGGGATCATCAGTGGACTTAAATTCAATAATTTTCCATCAGTTCAGATTCTGTCAAATCTACTAACTATATCTAGCATTTTCTGTTTTTATTTCATTTCAAACGTTAACTTACTGCTCCTGAAACCCAGTTGGCATAATCACTGCAGAGGTAGGCAGCAAGGTTGGCAATTTCATTCACTGTACCAAAGCGGCCCATTGGAATTCTCTTCAGAATTTCTTTTTCAAACATACCACTTGGGTCAAGTCGGCTAAAGGCGCCCTACAACCAACAGAAAACATAAGTGATTGGCTGCAGAAATTATAAACTGGCCAGAAAAATTTAATTTGAAAGTCACAATATGTTTCAGTGAAGAAATCTTTAGCTCTTAGTTGAAATACAACTACTTCAAAACAAGGAGCTAAATTCAGGCTCATATTGGCTTAATACACTATAACTGACTATAGATGCATGGCTTTACCTCTATTTTGTGTGAAACAAATAAAGTTCTAGTCAGTCATTAACATGAGGTCATAATCATCACCCAAAAAGATATAGGGCATTGATTTTCCCTGGATGTATATTCCGGCTAAGCTTACTTCTGGGACGTAATGCAGAAGAAAATAGGTGCAGCTACTGTGGTCAATTGGCTGCAATCACTTTGAACTCCTTTATTATCTCCGTAGATAGCCTATAGTTAATGTTGTCTCAATATCCTACAAAGGTAAAACTGAAGGCAACTAAAGCCAGAGCTCCCTGGATGATGGAATGAGCACAAAACATGGTGTTTGATCGATGGTAGCTTGATAATTTATTTTAACCATTAACTTGTTGGGATTTAATGTTTAGAAAACAAACCTGGCAAATATTCAAATTAATTTGGAGTAAGAAACTTGCAATCTGGATATTAACAAGAAATTATTTGAAGGAGAAAAATAATGTTTTTTTTTCCCTTATTCTTGTAAGAGATGCAGATGTCACTGGCAACGCCAGCATTTGCTGCCCACCCTTAGTTGGTCTTGAACTGATTGAAATGGCCTAGGTAAAAACCCATCACATTGCTGTGGGTTGAGAGTCACATGTAGGCCAGACTAAGTGAGAATGACAGATTTTGTTTCCTAAAATCTAATTTGTCATGCCAATCATTTCTTGGTCACCATTAGATTAATTTTGGCAATTCCAGTCTTTTAATGAATTCAGAGTTCAGTATCTGTTATGCTGGGATTTTCACAAACAAGGAAATGGTTGTAGAATCACTATTACCTTTGTTTTAATAGGTCCTGGCTGAATCACATTGAACCTCATACCATATCGGCCCCATTCAGCAGCAAGTGATCTGCACAGTAAAGCAAACAAAACAAAAAAAAAAATCAATTTCTGCATTGGCTGAGGCAAAAGACATTGGAACAACTGAAACTTGAAAAAATAAAACAGGGAATAAAACAAATTAAATTAATAGCATGTTTATTAAGTGCAGCAACCTTCAAAGACATCATTATTTCCAAAACATTGAAATCATTCTCTCTGCAACTCAAGTAAATTATGATGGTTAGTGTTGGGTTGGTTTGGCTTGAAATGTCACTGCTTTCTAAGAAATAAAACTATTTCTGCAATAAAAGCTAACGATTTAGATCTTCTATACAGTTCTGAGAGTCTAACAATATTCTTTTCATCTACCTCTTCAATAAAGAAAACACTGCAAAACATCAAAGGTGATATTCTCAATATAGTTTAAAAGCTAAGTTGAACAGAAGTGCGGACTGCAGATTTATTTTGGTAACACATCATAGACATCACAGCAGAATACTTTGACAAAATGTCAAACATCAAACCCTTGAGTTCAAAAAAATTTATCTGCTATTTAAAGTTGCATGTCAAAAATTATAAATAAAACAACACTTACTTAGGACTCCTGCAAAAAATGCTAGTTATCATTTGCACCACTGCCTTCAAAGTATTTCATAGCTTGTTTTATATATGGATTCATAAAGTAGCAGAAAGATATCCATATCAATATATTTAATGTTACAATCAAAATATTCCAGTATTCAGTCAAAGGCAGCAGGATTAAACTGAAGATAAGACTGGGCCATATAACTTAAGCGCTTAATTCACTTTAAAAGCATATGTAACAACAATGAGCCTAAATTCAGGCTGAAGATGCTTTGTAAACTCAGAAAATGATTTCAGAAAAGCCAAGAAGAAGGGAGTGCAAATGGTATTAATGACCAAGCATCATGCCCTAGGAATGCCCAAGCTCGCTCGTCACATAGCAGCATTCAGAATACTCAGGAGAAGAGCAAGTCTGCCTGGGAAAATTCAGTCATGGGATGCCATCAGTCAGATGGACAGAATCCAAGTAGCTTCTCTGCTATGCTTGCTGACAGGTTCACTAGTGAACTTACTGCAACAAACACAAATCAGAACCAGTCTGTAATTGGAGGAACATTGAGAAGGTCTCTGGCGCTGGGTCATTGTGCCATAGGGATTGAATTGGCAGGGCTAGGGATGAAAGGGAGAGGTTTATGGGGGGAGGAGGTTGAAGATAAGAGATGTAGAAGACAGGAGAGTTGCTGTTTGGGATGGAGGGATAGTGTGTGGACAAAGAGTGGGGCAAGTTGGAAAAACAGAAGCTGGTGGCTGAAAAGGCAGGGGAAAGATTAGATGATTAAGGAAAATAGAAAGAGGAACACTACAAGATTTTTCTACTTTCTCTACACTGAATCTGTCGTGAAACCTAGGGCCAAAAAGAGAAATCATGGACCCTGGTGCTTTTCCTGTTTCTGGGCCCCTTATTTACCCCAGTCTGTAATCCTCCTCCTCACATCACTCAGAGTTGGGAGCAGGAGTCAAAATGTATTTTAATGCCCCTCAGCACACCCACCACCACCACCAATGGGCTGTTCTTGAAAAATTCGTGAGGACGTCTTCTTGGTTATTGGCATTTTTTATCATTAACCCATTTATTCAGTATTGCAGTCACATCGTAACAACAGCTTCCATGTTTGTGTTGACATCAGGTATTTGGACTCTCCCATAAGCAGTATTAGAAGAGTACATCAATAGCCTTAAAACTTAGCAACTCTACATTTAGCTTGAAGATACAATGCGTAATGCAACCATTGATTTCTTAGACCCTGTGCAATTTCAATTTACACTTGACAACAAGTAAAAGTTGACAAACTCATAACTTAAAGACACATTCAGAGTGCTGTCGCACATGCAGAAAGCTGGAAGATTTTAACCAAGTAGTTACTAGCATGTTCACTGCATCTTTAAATTAAATTTAACAATTGACACAGTGCTCACTACAATAGCATCCACTATATTCTCTCCCCACCCCTCGCCATGAAGTAGTTCTTAACCATAAGGAACCTTAAACTATAGATTTCACTTTCTTTGGAACAGAAATCATTACCTCAGTGATTTCCAGTTTTCCTGGCTGTGTTAATTTTGTATTCCTTTGTTGACTGGTTTAAAACTGTTCATTTTCATCTGGAGCTTTTCTTTTCTCCTACTCACCTTGCAGTTGTCTTCCATCCACCCCAGTCTCCCTGACTACTCCATCCACTCTTTCCTCCTCCCCACCCCATCTTGGGACATAGGGATATTGTCACTGCACCACAGGAGTCCCTCTCCTGTGCACAATGAAATCCCAGTTAACATCCACCAAGTGAGTACAAAGAAACCCTCAATTAACTGATAGTTAATATGATTGAAAAGAGGAGGATGGGACCAACAGCAACTTATTTATACAATACCTTTGTCAGCAAAATGGATCAAAGTGCTTCATACAGAACTAATGAAAAAAAGGGATGTAGAGCCAAATAGACTAAAAGAGGTTACAAAAGGTTTGATCAAAAATGATCAAAAATTTGAGGAATGCTTTAAAGGAGGAGCCAGTCGTGCAGAGTCATAGAGAAGGAATTTTAAGGAAATTGGGACATGGTTAAAAACAATGGTGGACTACCATCCAAGCCCTTGGTCAAGAACCCCATGTCAGGGGAATGGACTGTTTGGGGAGAGTGGGAGATCAGCAGTTGTAGAACAGCTGTGAGTGTGTCTTCAAGGACCATAAATGGCTTTAAATATGGGATGACAAACTAAATTTTGGACTTTAAAGCACCAGGAACCAGTGGAGTAGATGGATGATGTGGAGTAACTTTGACATGGAAAGGAAATGCAGACTTTAGATAAGCTACAATTTACGGGGAGAGAGGAATGGAAGGCTGCCCAAGAGATCACTTAAATGATTGCATCTCAAGGTGACAAAGGCAAGAATGAAAGTTTCAGCAGCAGATAAATTGAGGAAGGTACAGGGATAGTTGATGCTATTTAGGGTTTGAAAGCACAGTTCATGGTCGAAAAAGTAGAGCAGAAGGCAAAGAAGCTGCATGCTTGATTATAAAATTGGAATGGGTGACTCAAAGGTCATGAAGATGATCTGAAGCACAAGTGAGAAATGGGAAAGCATTTACAGTAGGTGAAAGTTATAAAATAACAATTATAAGATTGAATACGATGTGGAAGTGAGACAAGCTCAGATTTTGAAATTAACCCATTGTACATCTACAAATATACAGAGACAGGAAAAGGTTCAAAAATAGTTATTTATATAATAAATAAACTATAATAAAATAATACACCTCAAGGCATTACACAAGATCAAAAGCATACAGGAAATAACAGTGAGCCAAAAGAGTTATTAGAACAGGTAACTAAAAGCTCTGTCAAAGATATTTAAACAGATAATTAAAGAAGGTAGAGATATGGAGAGGGTTAGGGAAGAAACAAAGTTAAAGGCCTAAGTCATTGATAGCGCTAATGGTGAGGCAAAGCATAGCAAGGATCACTGCAGGCTAAAATTGGGGGAACAAGAAATTTCTTTTCCAACCTAGAACAATCACATCCTTCCAATAATGTGGTGAGAGATTCCACATGACTGGTTAACCACCTTATCACCTGTCCTGCTATCTTCACGGTTCTGTGGATATGCACACCAAGATCTCTCTGAATTTCAGTAATTTCCAGTATTCTCTCACTGTGTAAACCCTTCCCTTGTTAGTTCTCCACAAGCGCATTACCTCACACTGTTCCAGGTTGAATTCTATTGCTCTGCTGACCTGATCAGTCTGTTGATATCCTTCTACAGTTTATGACTATTCTCACTATTTACCACTTTATTGAAATAAATTCAAGATTCCAATGGGGCTTAACAAGGTAGAAGCTGAGAGGATGTTTGCGCCTTATTTAGAACTGGAAACAGAGTTTTAAAAAAGGGGTTCCTGATTCAGGATGGAGATAGGGAGAAAGTTATTCTTTGGAATTCTCTTCTTCAGCAAGCAAGAGGCTAGGTCATAAGGGAATTGGAAATGACTGGTTTTTAATTTGTGGGGGGGGGGGTGTAGAATTAAGGTGGGGGTGTAGAATTAAGGCCAACATCAAATTAGCCATGATCAAATTGAATTGCTGAACAGGGCAAATTACCTACTGATGTTCACATGTCTTAAATCCTTTATTATGTTCTTATTATGTATTAACGAGGAAGACCAACTTTTGCAAGATTAAACCAGGAGCAAGTTAGAATATTTAAATAAATGTAAATCATGTGTCAAGTAGACGGAAGGAAAATTATAGGATAAAGAAATAAAAAACAGGAAAAAAACCATTAAAACCAACAGATTATTTAAGATAGCTCAATAGCAAAATTTGAAAAAATAAGGCTCAATTTTGACAATTAATTTTGTGGTACAAGGGTCTGTAGGCAGTAACTAAGATAAATGAGGTTATTAAAAATTCATTTCCATCTGAACGTACAAGCTCTAACCATTGCTGACGCATTCACTGGCTACGTTTCGTAGGGATGTGGGCTTCACTGACTAGCCCATCCCTAATTCCTCAGAACGTTGCCCAAAGGTTAACCACATTGCTATGGGTCGGCAGTC